CAATATTGAACAAAATTCAGGCAATAACCGCCCAAGAGTCACAATTAGTTGCCCGAGAAAAGGAGAAGTTGCAGGGAGGCTCACATTTTTGCCCGATACTCTTCAAGAGCTACTTGATATTGGTGCTCAGAAATTTGGGATCACTCCTACTAAAGTTTTAATGAAAGATGGAGCATTAATTGAAGACATAGCGGTCATTAGAGATGGTGATCATCTCATTCTCACCGGCGATGGGGGAGCTGAGATTTCAGGGAGTTAAGAGGTTACCTCCTATATTCATGCCTTGAGTGTACATTTTTTTTTCCCTAGTGGCACACGATCCCACTTCGGAATTTTGAATTTGAGAGGGAAAAAAAATGACTACTTGTGTTTGTTTTTTGTACTTGTAGTTTTCATTGGATGTCTGAAGGGGAAGGGTGGTGGATATAGAAAATGCAAAATTATAGGTTATATATATGACATTGGCATCCAATAGGTTATTATTTGTATGGAGGGGCTTGGGTGTATTATTTCAATTCTTTGAAGGTAATTTAATCCGTCATTATAATGTTTATTTGAATGGTACCTTTGTTCTTTCTTTCCATTCTACTGTTAGACAATGCCTGGTAATCCTCACTGAACATGCAGCTCTGGAAAAATTGAAAATTTTGTTTTGAATATCTCAAATAATTTGCCATTAATCAAATGATTGAAATCAATTATGGTTGTTTGTGTGCTTGTGTGTAAATAATGTCAAAATGTTAAGTTGGTATCCCACAAAACTAGTTATAAGTTGTTCAGTGGTGGTGGCTCTAATAATCTGTTACTAATACTATAGGATTTTTTTGAGACACCTCTTAATTTGTATCTCTTAAATTATAATTTAAATAGAAAGTGGGATCCATGCTAAGGGGGGCACGAAGGTTTATGGTTTAGCTTAGCTCGCTTTGCTTTAGCTTATAGACTGAGTGGGCCGGCCCGAGCTCAAATCAGGCTTGGGTAGGATTTGATGCCTAGCAAAAACCTGTCTCATTGACCCGTAAAAGGTAGCCCACCGTTTGATCCTAGAGTTTGTCAGAAAATTAAAAATTAAAAATTAAAGAAATGATAAATTCCCCCAAAAAAACTCCAAATCTTGATTATTTTGGTTAAGCCAGTGGACTAATTTGCAAGCCCATTTAAACCAAGTTTGTTGGGTAGGACTTGAGCCTAAAATTTTGACTTGACATTAAAAAACAGTGGTTTTGGACTCAGCTTTCATTGTTCAACTTGGCCTTATGCTGACTCTTAAACCATGCAATGTGCGGATATAAATCCAAACAGAAAAGCTTGGGACCCCCACTTGGGAGACCCCTAGCACCCCTAGTGGGTGTTGATTGGTCATAATTTTTTTTTTCTTTTCCTTTTAATCACTAACCTCTACGTGTGTGTGGGGGTTAGTGAGGGTGGGTTTGACTGAGGGCCTGCAGCATAGCTCAAATCCAAATTGTATAATTAAGTAGAAGTTGCAACAAATCTTGAAAACAGGAGCCCCCTTAACATTGTGCTTAAGAACATTATGGTTATGGTTGTTTGGGCCGACTAGATTAGGTTGGATTAGTATTTTCATAACTAATAGTTCTAGGACTACGAATCCCTTTGAATTGTGTATTTTATCTTATGTTTGGATTAAGTTAGGATTACAAGGAGGGACTAATAGTTAGTTTGGGAAGATTGAAAAAAGACAAAAAGTCAAAAAGTCACTATCCTATTTAAGTCACATCATCTTATTTAAGTCACATCACCTCTCTAACACATCACTTCAAATCCAACCAAACTAATAGTTAGTTTGGGAAGATTGAAAAAAGACAAAAAGTCAAAAAGTCACTATCCTATTTAAGTCACATCATCTTATTTAAGTCACATCAGCTCTCTAACACATCACTTCAAATCCAACCCAACCCATATTTTATAAAAAGTCAAAAAGTACACTTATTTAGTCTTCCCAAACTAGGCCTTAGTCCTCCAATTTATATCTCACCCCTATATGAGATTGAATAGTCCATTATATGTGGAATACTATATCCGGATGGATTGTTAGTCCGTACTTCAATTGTTTAACCAAATATCAGATTAATAATTTTATTGTACTATTAATTCAATTTCAAATTTATGTCCACCCAAACAAACATATAAGGGCTTCTTCATAATTACAATCACCAAGTGAGGAAGATGCATTTTTTGTGAATTTGCTTTCCTGTAAACAAAACGGAACATAAATGCATCCTTATCTCATGACACCACATGCGTAGTTGGTGCACTTAATCCATAATAATAAATTCAATTTAATGGCTTCAATCTTGTTGCGATTCTTTCCGTTACATAATAAATAATATTATATGTATTAATTAGTGTATTAATTAATATATTAATTGATAATGTAACATAATTTATAAAATAAAAATACTAGAGGTCTCAAAAATTCTACCAAAAGTTTTACCAAATGTTTGTGGGACCCACATGGGACCCACATTGTGTGGGTCCCACACCCATGTGAGACATTTGGTAAAATTTTTGATAAAATATTTAGGGTCTCTAGCATTACTCTTTATAAAATTTTTAATATTTATAGTGTAATTAATAAGTGTGCTTAATAATAATATCATAACTAGTATTAGTATATTAATTAATATATTAATTGATATATGTATCACTACCGTTACATAATTGTAATTCATTATATCATCTAATGGTCATGAAAGATCACTTCAATATAAGTGTAATGACTTCTTAATTTGAAATAATGGTGAATTCATATTTTTAATTTATAACCATGGAATATGTAATGAAAATATTTTATTATAAGAAACGGTCAAATCAACCTTAAATATTTGAACTCATTCTCAAAGTAATCATTCTGTTTGTTTCTAGTTTTTATAGTTTATTTTTTAGAAAATTTTATTTTTTTATTTTTCGTATTTTTTTTTTATTTTTACTGAATTTTTTTTAATATTTCTATTTTTTAGAAAATTTTATTTTTTTATTTTTCGTATTTTTTTTTATTTTTACTGAATTTTTTTTAATATTTTAAGTAATTTTTTTTCTAAATTTTTTAAATATATCTAACATAAATACACTTAGAAGGTATAATATTTATGATTTTTTTTAAAGATTCACTAAATACCAAAAATAAATAATAATAATAATAATGAGAATTCAGTACATTTTTCATGTTTTGAGTATTTATTAATTTTTTAAAATATTTTTTCACAAATAATTTACTATTTAAATATATTTAAGTAAGGTACATCTAAAAAAGTAAAAAAATTACTTAAAATTTTAAAAATATTTACTAAAAATAAAATAAAATATTCAATTTGTAGAAGACTAAAACCAAAACACTGAATGTATTTTACATATTTTGGTAACTAATAACTCTATAGCTAGGCTATCTATGATCTGGCACTTAATTACCTAACTTAAGACATTTAGGCCCCGTTCGGAGTGTTGCCTTTTGGCTAAAATAATTAAATAGTCAAAATATCCGTTCACATGATTCTTTTTATTTTTCTACATGTCTTCATTTTTTTTTTTTTTTTTTTTTTTTTTTTTTTTTTTTTTTTTTTTTTTTTTTTTTTGTAAAAAGCTAAAAAAATCAATTAAAATAGTAACTTTGCAAAAATAAATCTTTAGTTGGTTAGTGTAATCTGAATTAAGATTACCCTATTCAATTCTCCTTCAGTTATATAATTCATATATAGTATCTGTATATAAATATATATTTGATGATCTCTCTGCTAAGCATTTGTATTATACGAATCTTTTCACCTTCTGTCTTTGCAGGGCCTCTATTCTCTGTACACAAAAAGCTTCATGAGGTTCTCTCTCTCTCTCTCTCTCTCTCTCTCACTAGCCTCCATCAGCCTCCATCGCTTCATTCTTTATACATTTTTGCTGCAAGTTTGTGTTCATATATAGATTTCAAATCTCTCTCTCTCTCTCTCTCTCTCTCTCTCTCACTAGCCTCCATCGCTTCATTCTTTATACATTTTTGCTGCAAGTTTGTGTTCATATATAGATTTCAAACTTGCAATATGTGAACTAGTTTCAATATGATGGGCTTGCTTGGCTTCTTTTTCAGAAATTTTTCTTAGAATTTTAAAAAAATAAAGACTAATTTGATAAAAATAAATATTAAAAAATATTTTAAAAATTATTTCTGATCTCCCAAAAGAATAAATAATGTAAAAAAAATAATTTTTTTGATTTTTTTATTTCTTTCATTATTTAAAAAAAAAATTCTTAAACAAGTTTCTAAAAATCAAACTAAACATGACCGATATATCTATAATAAATATGGTGTTTGTCAATATTATTTTTTAATTTTGATTTTGATTTTCTTTATAAATTTATAGCCCTTCCAAAACTTGTTGGATCTGATTTTGACCCTTGGTAAATTTTTTGAATCCGCCACTAGTCACCATAGTTAAGACACAATGGCTATGTTTAATTGTAAAATTAAGTTTATCGTATTATAAATATAGTGGATTTGAGTAATGATGATACTAATGTAGCTGTATTAGATTGGAGATATAATAGAAATTAAGTTTATTTGTGAATTAGTCTGATAGTATTAGGCATGATTAATCTTTGAAATTGCGTAAAAGATCTCATTATATAAAATGTGTTATTTTTATAAAATGAGAATAAAATAGTCTTTAATCAATTTAATCTCATGAAATTAGATTGCGAATTCCAATCCATATAGGGAAGTTTCACTCAAAAAGTCTCCCACAATAACAATTTCAAAAAAAAAATATATATATATATATATATGTATCATTAATCTATCATTCTAAGTAAATTTTGAGAAATTTTTTAAATTCACTGTTATACAGCACGTTATGCGTATTATTTATGTTAAAATTCAAATCGATCAAATAATTTAATTTTTTATAATAAAAAATAAACCAATTATATAAATATCAATATTCAATTAATTTAATTTAATTTAATTTTTTTTACGTGGATCATCAAACAGAATGCCGAATACCCATGCAGAGCTCCTTCCATTTCTCTGTTTCGTCCTTCTATTAGCAAACCTCCATCTCTCTCTCGCTGATATCGGCACAGCCGCCACCTACAAGCCACCATACATCCGTAAGTCCAGCCGCCGCTTCTCCAGCCATTCAACAAATCATGTTTTCTAAAAACGCTTAAAAAAATCACAATACACATTCATTCAAATTGTTGTGGGGTTCATTTCAATTTTGATAAATGCAGCCACAGCTTGCAACGGCAATGCCGCCGAACAGTTCCCGTCGAGCAACCTGTTTGCGGCAGCAGGAGAGGGAATATGGGACAACGGCGCGGCCTGCGGGAGGCAGTACTTGGTGAGGTGCATAAGCGCCGCCAAGCCAAACGGTTGTGTTCCGAGCCAGACTATTCAGGTGAAGATTGTGGACCGTGCTCAGACAGCGGCTTCTAGGCCGTCAAGGGGTGGCACCACCATGGTCCTCTCTACAACTGCTTATGGAGCCATTGCTAGGGGATCTCCTGCATCAATTAACATTGAATTTCAACAGTAAGTATAGGCTTGACTTTCGGTCCGATAGGCTAACCTTTATCACTTGAATAATACACAAAATTGAGACTCGGAGAAACCAAGACATCAATATGTGTTTTTAAATTAAAATCAAAATTTATATTTTTCAAATTTAACAGTACACCTATCTCGTAGATAGACACCACTAATATATATATATACACGAACCATATGGAAAATTGTGAGAATTTTCCATATTCAATGTTCTTGAGAACCCACCTCCTCAATCAAAAAATAAAATAAAATAAATAAATAAGTAAAAACCCGTCTTCCTTCCCCCACCTAACATTTTTGTTTATTGCAGGACTAATATATATATATAGAAGTTTTTAAACAAAAACCAATTACAGAATTAGGTTCTAAATTTATTTACAAGAGGTCGATCCCACATTAGCGTAAAAAAATGGTATTTGGTTTCTAATTATTATATATTTTTTCCTCCTGTAATTTTTTTGTATTGACATAAGCTATTTTCCATTTGTAGGGTTTGACCTGGGGACAGAATTAACCTAAAGACATTTTTCTATCAAGGGAAGGGAGATGATCTATTGTTGATTGCATGGCTTGGAGGAAATTGACATTGAAATTTCCCAATTGAAATGTTAAATTTTCTTCCTAGATTTGATCAAATATTCTTTTTCTCTGTTAGTGTTATATATTCAGAAATATCATCAAGAATATTTACCTGAGTGAGAAAAAATAATTAAAATTCAATTATGCTGTGTTTGGTTGAGAGATTTGAGGAGAGATTTGGAAAGGGAAAGGAAAAAGGTGTGTGAAACTATGTGAATTATAGGCATGTTTTATTCACAATTCACCTATCGTTTCCATTTCCCTTTCCAAATTCCTCTCCAAATCTTCCAACCAAACACAACATTAGTGTATTGTGAGATCCATGCATAGATACCAGATGTAGTATTGGTATTTTGTCTCCACCAATTTGGAAGAGAGAGAGAGAGAGAGAGAGAGAGAGAGAGAGAGAATTTCTGCATGATACAAAGAGATGAAGAAAATGTGACATGTTGAATTTTCTTCTAAGGAAAAGGATCCAAATCAGACTTCACTTAGATTGAGAAGACATTGAATCAGATTGTAAATGTCTGGGTAGTTTTAGACTCACTCTCTCATGGGAAAGAGCTGGTATATGCTTTTACATCTCAGAACAATAAAAACAAAAACAAAACAAAACAAACGAAAACAAAGCAACCAACTGAAAGAATCACTTCCACAGCTTTCGCAAGGACATGTTTTTCTCAGTGTCTTTCTTCATCACTTTAGCCACAGCCATTTCAAAGTCTTCCTGTGTCACATGAACCCTCCTCTCCCTCAGTGCAAACATACCAGCTTCAGTGCAAACCGCCTAAGCACCAGATAAGGTAATAAGATAAAAGCTACAAGAAATAACTAATGGAAAAATAAAATAATATGAGCTTTTCTGGAGAACAAGAAGAAAAATAAGACAAAAGCTACAAGAATGAATGGGATCCAAAAGAAAAACAGACCTTCAGTTCTGCACCAGATGCACCATTCATCTTCTCTGCAATCTTCTTCAAATCAATACCACGCATTAAGTTCATTCTTCTCGAGTGTATTTTCAAGATATCGAAGCGGGACTGTGAGTAACAAAGATAAACAAATAAGCATATCACCACTGATCTGATAAGCAGCACACTGGAAAAGAAAATGAAAAATGACACCAAATTAAGCTCATTTTTTGTCGAGTGCAATTTTCACTACATACAAACAAGACGATGAATAACAGAATTACTTTTCTACTCGTAAGTAGTTTGAGAGAGATTACGGATAGGAAGTACACTCAGTGAGAGAGATTACAGATAGGAAGTACACTCAGTAACATCATGACTCAAAGTCATTGTCACAGAAATGTATGGATCTCGATTGGATTGAACTGTGAATCTTATTAAGCAGAGCCTATGACAAACTTTCGATTATAGAGCAGAATCTAAATAACAAAAAAACTGGAAGAAAATAATTGTGAAGTACAAGGAATGAAGATGAAAATGTGATTATAAATCTAAGAGCTTCTGCAGATGCAGATGTTGCCTTTTCCAATCTAACATGCAAGGGGACAATACTATACGACCAGGATATTAAAATTGAAATATGTCCCAAGGACATATGTAGGAGTTATGATGAATAGAAACATACCTCTTCATTGGGATTTGGGAACTCTATCTTCCTGTCAATCCTTCCAGGCCTCAGAAGGGCTTGATCCAAAATGTCAATGCGATTTGTAGCCATCAAAACCTGTGAAAAGGATAGGAAGTACACTTAGTGAGAGAGATTACGGATAGGAAGTACACTCAGTAACATCATGACTCAAAGTCATTGTCACAGAAATGTATGTATCTCGATTGGATTGAACTGTGAATCTTCTTAAGCAGAGCCTATGACAAACTTTCGATTATAGAGCAGAATCTAAATAACAAAAAAACTGGAAGAAAATAATTGTGAAGTACAAGCAATGAAGATGAAAATGTGATTATAAATCTAAGAGCTTCTGCAGATGCAGATGTTGCCTTTTCCAATCTAACATGCAAGGGGACAACACTATACGACCAGGATATTAAAATTGAAATATGTCCCAAGGGCATATGTAGGAGTTATGATGAATAGAAACATACCTCTTCATTGGGATTTGGGAACTCTATCTTCCTGTCAATCCTTCCAGGCCTCAGAAGGGCTTGATCCAAAATGTCAATGCGATTTGTAGCCATCAAAACCTGTGAAAAGTAGTTGTCTTGTTATCAAATTATTTATATGAAGGGGCAAGTTTTAATCTGGTGAACAATTTCACCAATGCACACAAGCAGGGAATCAGTACTTTGATTTTGTTAGATGCTTCAAATCCGTCCAGTTGATTGAGAAGCTCCAGCATGGTCCGCTGCACTTCACTATCACCATTGCCAGATCCAGATTCCATTCGAGCTGATCCAATACTGTCGATTTCATCCATAAAGATGATTGATGGAGCATGTTCTCTGTGAAACATCAACCAATAAGAAATCAGAGACTTATACGAACTCTATAACATTTTCCAGGCTAACACAGTTCAGTATCCCAATATATGAGATATTGCACATATTTTGCAACAACAATGTTGTCAATGAAAGATATCAGACAAACCTGGCCATAACAAAAAGTTCTCTCACCATTCGAGAGCCCTCGCCAATATACTTCTGAACCAACTCAGAGCCAGAAACCCTTATAAAGGTGCAATCAGTATGATGAGCCACTGCCCTTGCCAAAAGCGTTTTCCCAGTACCGGGTGGCCCATAGAGCAAAACTCCCTATTAGTTAAGAGAAAATTAACTGTTAGATGCTAGCAATTCAAAATTAACTACCTAGACATGATTCTTGACTAGTCCATTAAACGGAGATTTATTACAAGTATAGTGTAAATGAAATGAATTATGGATAAAAGTTTCAGCTTTTTATTCCCTAAAATTTGACATAGTTCAGCTTCGTCTTCTTTTTTTTTTCCCCATCTAAAAAACAGAAAAGAAAAAGGCAGGGACTAGTACAAGAAAATTCATTCCAAACAAAATTGAGTTTTAGATATGTGTAATTTGAAAAAAAGTCTGCGCTAAATTATTCATTTCAAATCTTCACCCAAACCCAGGTACATTCACCTTTGGTTGGGCAATTCCAAGACTCTCGAATAGTTCCGGATGTTTGATTGGCAACTCGATGACCTGGAAAAGTAAAGACAATAGGACCAATTAGTTCCAAGATAACACTCAAATAATAGAAAAACTTTGATTAATGACAAGAAAAAAGAAAAAACAAAATTCTCTAATCTCTAGAGAGGATATAAATTTGAGTTAAAAACAATGACTAAGACCAAAACCAATAAATAGTTCACCCATGGATATATGAATAAAATATATTCAGCCGTGAAACCAAGAAAAGAACCTCAGACAACTGACCTCCTTTATCTCTTTAATTTGTTGGTCAAGACCACCAATCATGTCATATGTAGAATCTGGAACTTTTTCAACTTTCATAAGGTTTACCAGAGGATCTACTTTACTGGGCAATACCAAGTGAAGCACATAGCTGTCATTGCGAAGGGCAACTCTAGTTGATGGTGTGAGTTTTGTGATGTCAATGCTCTTATCAATATCAACAACATACTTTCCCTCTGGATGGACCTGAAAAGTTGACAAAAGAATTATCGGTCAAATGATTTGCAGTTTCAGGTTCCATGCATCAGAAACATGTAAAATGCAAAGCATAATCAAATAAACAAGAATTATGGATCCCAGGGAGAACAGACAAGCTAGACAGGTAGAAAATAAACAAGATTCATTATGACAGTCTCAGTCTGTCACACTGCAACATAAAATGTGACAAAATAGCAACTTAACAAAAAGAATGTTACCCAACATGGGCCATCGTTAGCAGAACATGCTCGGAACTTCTGAAGGGCTACATTTCTACCTACTTTTGAGTGAATTTTAACTTATTACTAAATTCCCACAGGTGGTTGATACATCATTCCATGAGCAGAAAAACTAAGTTCAGGAACATGGGAAGCATCTAATTGTTGGACGTAGGTAGAATATTCTAAACTCTTAAAAAAGGATGACATGAAGAGAAATGGAAATCAAATTTTTAGTTAAAATTTGATGTGTAATTGCAGATGTACCTTCACCAGGACCTTTGATTTCCCCATAACTTTGACCACTTCACCAACATACGAACCAGGCTCTTGTAGAAGCTGTAGTTCTTCTTTGAGCATCCTAACTGTAAACGATATGGCAAGCTCAGATAGCAATAATTGGCATATTAAACTCACCAAAACCAAGGGAATCACTAGCTATTGTATCACAAAATAGCTTAGGTGCATTATTTCTTGTCAATATGTAATTACATGAGCCAACTACCATTGCCAGTGGCGGCTCAAGGTTTCCGGAGGCTTTAGGCTAAATATCAAAGTGAGACCTTATTTAACTAGGCTTTTGAAAAGTTGGGATCTTCAACAATAAAAAAAAACAATTGAAATTTTTTGTGGCCCTTAGGCGACCGCCTAGGTGGCACAACTCATTTGATTGGTATAGTTAAAAGTGTTAAAATGTAAATTAACATTTGCAAACACCGCAAAACATTCAAAATTCACTTCTCTATGAAGCAAGAGTGATCTATTCAACTTCAGTAATAGATGACAGAACTCAACTCCAAAATTCAAAATTCAATCACATTCATTGTACATTCAAGCCCAATAAAAACAAATAACCCTAGAACAAGAAAAAAGCGAAATTAACGAACATAACACCACATCACTTCAAATTGCAAGGCCAAGTAAGATTTAAGCCAAATTAACAAACATAACTTCGAATTGCAAAGCAAGTAAGATTTTAAAATATAAAAATAAAAAGCTAGGGTTCTTTTTGGGCGATTTATACAGATATACAAATATGTACCTTTGGAATTGAGATCGTTGCGTTGAGCTTCGAGGCGATTGAGATTGTGACTCTTCTGGCGAACCTGGAGCTGAAGATCGTGTATGTGTTGGAGATAGTACTGCCTCAAACCCTCGCCTTGCTTCGACGACGCCGTTTTGGAAGAGCATGCGTCGGTGGACAATGCTGGGTCTGGTCGATTGGGTTCGATTGCTACTGTCGCCATTGTTGGAGTTGAGACGAAGACGAAACCCTAGAATTTGGGATTTTATTTATGATGTATGTATCTGCCTATATATATAGGTTGTGCGTAGCGTTTGGAAAAAATTCAATAAATTAATCGAACACTTTTTTTTGTTAATATAAATATAAATAAAAATATAATTGGATTTTTTTTTTTTTTGGTATCTATTAACTTAACAAAAATAAAAACTATTATTATGTCTCTGTTTATCAAAGTTAATTATCTAAAAATAGAAAAATTTTAATATACATCTCTTTAAAAAGAATATATTATATGCACTTTTAGTTATATCATTTTCTTCTTTAGTTATGATTAATTTTTTTTTAATTATGTCACATATTGTGTTTTATTTATGATATATTTTTTTTAGTTATAACTCAAAAAATTAAATTTATATCAATTTTCTTTTTAATTATAAAATACATATGATACACACCTATAATATTTTCCCTAAAAATATTATAATCATCACTTTTATTAATCACACAAAAAACAAAAAACTACATATATAAAAAGTATATAAATCTTTTGATAATGTTATAATAATCACATTCGTAAATAAGAAAAGTCTTTCTCTTGAAATACAAATTAGAGAAATTAATATTGCCCCTCATAAATCCTTATAAAAGACAAACAAACTAACAAAATGCAAAGGATACAATGGTTTTTAATATTACAATGGTTTTACAATTAATATTACAATCGCTTTTTTCTTTTAGCTTGAGCTGGCCATTTCTATCTCGTACTTAGCCATGATGGGAGTGGTTTCCTTGTACCAATGTGTATCAGCTCTTTCATTGCTTATATTGTTTGAACTGTTTGATGGATTGAGGATATTAATCCCTACAGAAAACAAATATAAGAATGGTTTAGGAGGCGGCTTCACCTCCACACCTCCCTCCAACATTTTCACCACAAAACTCATCAATGGTCTAGTCTTGGGCGAATCCTGAACACACCACAAAGCCACCATTGCCATTCTCTTTGCTTTCTCTCTCTCATTCTCTTCAATTCCATATGACAATATCATTGCCTCTAACTGGCCTTTCTCAAACTCATCCCATACATGTTTTGGGAACCAATCCATGCTCTCATCAGCCTTGGCAGCATGACTAACTCTAACATTCCTCCTCCTCCCTATTATCTCAAACAAAAGCATACCAAAACTATAAACATCACATTTATATGTGATGGGATAATTCTTGAGAAGAAACTCTGGGGCTGAGTAACCAGGAGTCCCTCTATATCCTGCAGAAGAGTCATGTGTCTTCTCTCTATTGCAAATCTTTGCCAGCCCAAAATCAGCAACTTTGGGAGAAAAATTGGCATCTAACAAAACATTACTGGGTTTTATGTCATAGTGAATGATCCTATGCTGACACTCTTCGTGCATGTAAGCAATACCTTTTGCTGTCCCAATCGCGATCTCATGCAACTTCTCCCACTTAATTGCTTGTGTATCACTGAAAATGTATTTATCTAGTGATCCATTTTCCATGTACTCATACACTAATGCGCTCATGAAGTTATCGTGGCAAAAACCATATAGCCTTACTAGATTTATATGGTATGTTCTTCCAATAGTGCTCACCTCTGCCATGAACTGTTCGTCAGCTCCTTTATTCGAGCTCCTATTGAGGACCTTAACTGCGATCTTAACTCCATTTGGAAATTGACCCTTGTAAACAATCCCAAAACCTCCAGAACCCAACCTTGTAGAATAATTAGTTGTTAAACTACATAGTTGTTGGGCTGTGAATCTAATCAGTTTCTCCTGCGCCATGTCTTGGAGGAACCTCTCCATTGTTGGCACATCAATTTCCAAAACTTGAACCACAACAAAGCTCGGTGGTGGAGCCTCAGGTCCTTGTAGTTCTGAAACAATTTCTCTCAGTTCTGAATCAATTTCTCTTCCCACAATAGAAGTTGGCGGTGGAGCCACAGGTCCTTGCAGTTCTGAAACAACTTCTCTCAGTTCTAAAACAATTTCTCTCAGTTCTAAAACAATTTCTCTTCCCACAACAGAGGTTGGCGGTGGAGCCACAGATCCTTTCAGTTCTGAAACAATTTCTTTCAGTTCTGAAACAATTTCTCTTTCCACAACAGAGGTCAGCGGTGGAGCCATAGGTCCTTGCAGTTCTGAAACAATTTCTCTTAGTTCTGAAACAATTTCTCTTCCCACAACAAAGGTCAGCGGTGGAGCCACAGGTCTTTGCAGTTCTGAAACCATTTCTCTTCTCTTTTTCTTAGCGCAAACCAATAAGATAATGCCATTGAGTGCAAATATTACCATAGACACAATTGTGCCTGTAAATTGAAAAACATAAGAAAAGGAAATGCGGATATCATGGGTCTTACAGTAAGTAAATTTCAAATCATATTGTTGCTGCATATATTATTGTAATTTTCTCTTTTTACAACTTTTAGTTCATGAAGAAACTTACCAGTAGTTACAATCCCAGCATTGTTGGCTGGTGGAGGGCTTAACAAGAGTGTATACATCTCTGCGGCATAAAAAAAACACTTGAAAATTTAAACAAATAATTATAAATCGGTGAAAATTGTGCACCATACAATAAAAATTGTGCCCCATTCGCCAATATATGTTTTTTGAGCCATTTTCGGACTATAAGGTCAAGTTTGGCAAGTTGTCAAAAAGTCAAAAAGTCAAAAAGTTAAAAAATTATCACTATTCATCAAAAAGTCAAAAATTACAGCTGCACAACTCTCAATCCTAATTTTTCCCTATACACTAATTTATACAATTTTTTAATACACATTTTTCTATAAAAAGTCAAAAAGTTAACCCAAACATCTATATTTTTTTTTCTCAATTTTTTAGTCCAAAAAGATAAAAAATATACTTATTTAAGACACCCTAAACAATCCCTAAATTGATGGGAAGACTTTATTTGGTTAACTTGAACTGTATTTTGAACTTCTTAAAACTTTATTTTGAGTGTTTTCTTCTTGAATTTGAAATTAGAGTGAAAGTTTACCACCCTTACCTTGGATTAGCTTTAGAAGTGAATCTTTATGGGTGTTTGGGAACCAAAAGTTGAGGCTAAAATAGTCTCAAATACAAAAGAGGCCAAAACCACACTAACCCATTGATTTTTTATTTTTTTAAAATATAGCTCTAATATAGCATCAGCCTATAGTGTAGGTACAGCCCCATCATTTTCGAAATGAATGACAATTTTGCCCTTTTAATCCTATTTTGGAAAAAATAAAGTTAGATACAAATTTGTCATTTTAAGTTTCAAACACATTTTTCAATACATAACTCAAATAAAAATTCATCATATCTTCCCAAACATAAAAACTAAAATAGCCTACTAAAATAGTCAAAAAACTTTACAATAGCCACTTCTCAAACACCCACATAGTGTGACTCTTTTTTTGGTAGAATTTTTCAGTTCTGTGGTGAATCTCTTAGTGTACTGAAAATAGAATTATTACCTTTGCAATAGTCATCTTTTTATCTTTTTTGAGTCATATCACTTCTCTATTTTTTACACATCTTTTTCGTAAAAAATCAAAATCTATACTTATTTAGATCATTCTAAATATTCCATCACTTTCATAAAAAGTCTGGAAAGTGAGAATTTACTTTCATTCAATTCAACCAAACAATAACACTAAAAATGTGGTGTTTTGATCAAAAAAAATGATTGAAATGATAAATAAAATAAAATAAGTGATTAGAAAATTATGTTAGCCTTGTTTGTATTTCATAAATTTTTTTTTGATTTTTTTTTTGAAATAATGAAAACTAAATTGATAAAAATAAATATTAAAAATATAATTTTAAATTTTTAAAAATTATTTATGACCTCCTAAACGATAAAATTATATAAAAATAATATGTGACTATAATTTTTTTTATTTTTTACATCAAATTAATTTTTAATTTAAAAAAAAAATCTGAAATAAGCCTCTGAAAACTAAACCAAGCACGACTGTTATCTCCTAAATAACATTTTCAGGTATAAAATATTAGTTTAATTTTTTTATTTTTTATACAAATTAAAGTGAAAGAAATGTAATTAAGAGGTTGAAGTTAAACATAATTGAAAACACGAGTATAATTTATCAATTTATTTTATTTTTATTTTATTACTAGTTTTGTTTGTTCATATTTATATTTATTTATTTACAAAATTGCCATTGCATTTTTCCCTCTAGTATTCAACTATAAAGTCCAATGAAGAACAAATTAAATGTATGGCCCAAAACATGCACTACTTGGATCCAAAAAATTTAAAAAATAAATAAATTAAATTGCAAATGTTTACAAAGTAAAATTTTGAACAGTTTCAGAATTATTCAGAAAAGAATCTTGCACATAAAAAGATGCTTTTCCTCTCCATCACCTTTGAATGTAACTGTTAAAATGGATTTAGTTACAAATTGGATGTAAATGACACCATCATTATATTTAATTTACAAAGGAAATGTAAGTACATAAAAAGTCTCTCTATTGAACTTTGATAAGCATATATTTATTAGATTAGGGGCATGTTTGATTGGAAGGATTAAAACATGAAATTGAGATTATTAATCCGTAGGCCCAATTATCTTACGTTTGTTTTGACATTTTGGTTTAAGATTATTAATCAAATAGATAATTAATCTAACAAATTTGTAAGATTATTAGTAATGGAGTAGGGGTGAGATAGTGAATACCACACTAATTTAATAAGATTATTAATACCTTACTATTAGTCTTGTGAATCAAACATGGCCAGAAGTAAGGTTTTGTTTACGATCTTGTTGGCAAAACAAAGACCATTCTTATTTCCTCATTTGTCAATTTTTTCTCAATCACAACACTGTGTTGGGTTGGAGCATCTAAAAAGATATTTAAAAAAAAAAATTAAGTAAAATATGAGTAAAATATACTTATAATTTAGCTAATTTCACATCCTTTCTCTTTTTTTTTTTTAGATTTTTTTCCAAATTCCTCAACCAAACAAAATATATAAGTATGATCAATCTCACTGAGCATTACTTCTATTTCTACCAAAACAAAAAAAAAATCTCCCCAAGCATATAGCACTTATAATTTGAAAAAATAAACTAAAAACTAATTAAATCAATAAAAATAACAAAGTTAAAATTTTCCGATCAAGAGCATATACCATTGGAGCTGTCAAAGTTATTTTATAGCTGGTGTGCACCAAAAACCCACTCCAGTGATATGCCATAACCCCTACTAAATTATAGCAATGGTATATCCAAAGCCAGATTTGGCTAGAGTTTTGGCAATCGCCAGACTTGCCTGCTCCTTTGATTTCCCACCAACAAACCATCAATAGCAACAAACAAGAATTGAACAAAAGAATAACGGGTATGTTTGGTTTGAGTTTTAGAGATGAGTTTTAAAAAAAAAAATTTTAAAAATTGTTTGGTTTGAGATGTTTTTTAAAAAATTTCAAAATCACTTTTTCTCTCTCCTCTCTCATTCTCAATCATTTTTTCTCTCACACACGTCTATTCAATTATAACAAAATATCAAATCATCCCAAACTCCCAAACTCCAAAACTACTTTCAAAATATACAATCAAACAAACCAAAAAATTTTCAAAACCCTCACCCCAAATTTTTTTTCAAAAACAACTCTCTTAAAAACAAACCAAACAAGCCCAACATGTTTGGTAGAGTTTTGAAGTTTAATTCTACCTCTTAGTTTAAATGTATTGTTTGGTTACAACTTTAGAAAATTAATTTTACACCCATTTTTCAAAATATTTTTTAAAACATTCACTTTTCAATATTATATATCGTATCATTCAATTCAAACTCTTTTCAAAATTAATAATCAAATAAATTTTTCACACTCAAATTATAATTTTAAAACACAAACTCAAAATAAAACTCTATTTTTAAATTATAATTCTACAGTTTTACCAAACGTAACCTAAATTTTTTTCAAATTTTTACAACAAATTTTGACACAGATATTTTCAAAAAAAAAAAAATTATATAACAAATATTTTTATGGAAAAAAACATATCAAAAAATGAGGGAGGAAAAATAAAGGCTGTAGGAAAAAATATTTAAGGAAAAAAAAAATACCCGCAAAGGAGCTCCCACAAATATCAGTAGAAAGATGGAAGAATACAGAAATCCTAATATTTCCAAGCTCTGTGTAAAATCCTACAATGAACAATCAAAGATACACCATGTCTGCGAGTTTCACATTGAAGAGTGAAGTGGATTTGGGCGAGATCGATTTTTTGAGAAAAATTACAAACCAAACAAAATTTTCAAAATCTTTTTCCCAAAGCCAAACCAAACAAGGCCTGAGTTTTTTGTTTTTTTTGTTTTTAGTGAATATTTCTAAAATTTTAAACATTTTTTTTACTTTTTTAGATGTATCTAAAAAGTAAAATATTTGTGAAAAAATATTTTAAAAAATTAATAAATACACAAAAATACAAAAAAAATATTCTAAATTTATGTAATTTTTTGTATTTTTAGTATTTAGTGATTTTTTTTAAAGTTTTTTTTACGAAAACTATACTTTTTAAGTGTATTTATGTTAGGTGTGTCTAAAAATTTAAAAAAAAAATTGCTTAAAATATTAAAAAAATTCAGTAAAAATAAATAAATACAGAAAATAAGAAAGTAAAATTTTTTAAAAAGTGTTTTCAAAAAAATGAAAACAAACATGTTGACTTAAAAAATTAAAAGAATGACATACAAGTAAGAGAAGGACAAAAAAATTATTCATAGAGTCTTTCATTTATATTTTACTATAAATACACTTACACTGGTGTTTGGGAAGTGAGTTTTTATGTAGATTTTAGTAGATGTAAGTTTTTATGAGATAAAAAAATTTTGGTGTTTGGGAAGATAGTTGGGTTTTTATGTGGTTGGATGTGATGTTTGTGAGAAAAAAAGTGAAATGATTATGGGGTTAGATGTGATATTTTGTTTGGATGTGTTTTTTTTGATTTTGTAAAACTTTTGTCTTTTAGTGGAAAAAATGAGAAAAAAATTTGGGAACTTGCTTCCCAAACACCACAAATACGAGGGAGGAAAAATAAAGACTGTAGGAAAAAATATTTAAGGAAAAAAAAAATACCCGCAAAGGAGCTCCCACAAATATCAGTAGAAAGATGGAAGAATACAGAAATCCTAATATTTCCAAGCTCTGTGTAAAATCCTACAATGAACAATCAAAGATACACCATGTCTGCGAGTTTCACATTGAAGAGTGAAGTGGATTTGGGCGAGATCGAATGGGTAGAATAATAGATAAAGAGGGGAGGGGGGGTCAAAAGACAACTAAAAAAGAACAGAGAAAAGAAAGGGAGGAGATGAGAGAGAGAGAGAGAATGAATGGAAGGATCCAGAATGGAAATAAAGAATGAAAGGATCTGGATGAATGGGGTGAGGGGCTCATCCAAGGGAAGGAAAAATTATTCCATGTGCCATGGACATTGATTTGGCAGGTGAATTAGAAGAATCTATCTATTTATTTTGTAAATATTATTATTTTTAATTGTTTTTCGATTGAATAATGGTATATATACTAGTTAGTGTACATGTTAGTGTATTAATTAGTGATGTGACATAATTTTAAAAATTTTAAAAATTTATTATTTATATAATAAATAGAGTCATTAATGATATTATAATACTAACTAGTACACTATACTAATTGATACATGAAACATCATCATTTTCGATTTGTCTAGTCTCGTACCAAGAAGGCGAGAGGAAATTTCAAAGAAGACTACAAGTTGAGAAGTCTATGAACAGGATCAACCACCATTAAAAAAACAAAAAAAAGGCACTGTCACTCTAAAATTTTGAAAAAATTTCTTTAATAAAATAGAGTATTAGTTAAGAAAATATTTAAATTATATATATTCGTCACTCAAAATATATTTAAAAAGTTTAGAAAAATGCTTGGGAGCACTAATTAGTGCTCCCACTAATTAGGTGGCAGTGGGTCCCGTCATTAATGATGTGATGTTTTGGTCTTGTTACTGATCGCTCGAGCGACCAAAAAGTTTTTTTTTTTTTTTTTTTTTTTTTACTTTTTTAATGCATTAGTGCTATTAGTGGTGATGTTTTTAGTGGGATGAATCATTGTTGAAAAGTTTAATATAAGATGAAATGACTCTGTCTCTCTCTTATTCTAGAATGGAAATAAAGAATGGAAGCAGGCCGGCCCTTACTTATTAGGGGCATAAAACGGATTTTTTAAATTAAGTCCTTCATATATCATTATTAAAAAAAAAAAAAATTATTTAGATAAAACAAAAAAGATAAAAATTTATTTCTATTGCATTACAATTTAACAAAATTTAGATAACAAATATATATATATATATATATATAATAGTTGAACTTCAATTAGTTGAATCGAATTTTTATTTTTTAGCTTACCAATGCTATAAGAACAAAAATTAATTGGGGGGTAAGAATGAGAATTTTCGACACAACTCAAGCAATATATAAAATTAGCAAGTTAAGGTTGACTATTTTCAACATAAATCCAAGTATGACACAACTCAATAACATGAACTATTAGTTATATATTTGAATGTTCACTAAGATGCCATGACATTTTTTTAATCTTTTATTTAACTCTATCTAACTGAATAAAAAAGTATGTAAAATAATGATTAAGGCTAATATCTTTTTTTCATTTAAAATATATATTTTTTGTTACCTATTTTAGAGTCAATCTAATAAAAAATATATAGTAAAAGGTACAATTTTTTTAATTAGAAAAATGCAATTGAATTAAAATCAAACATTCTATGAATAATTTCATTTAGTTGAAATAAATTTTATAAAATTCAGCTTATGAGAAAAATTTTAATCTCTCAATACACTTACTAAGTTATTTTTAACTAAAAGTAAAAGTTTTCACATTAAACATTAATTGAACGTGAATCAAAATAACACCACACAACAATATAAAAATAAATAAATTGAGCTAATATTAAAATAATTATGAAATAAAATGACATGATACATTCTCCTAATTAAAGATCTTAAAGTTTGTTCAAAATTAGGGGTCCGAGGCGACCTCCTCAGTCGCCTCGAGTCCGGATCCTCTCCTTGAGGAGGGTCCTTCATTTCCTGCGTGCAACGGCTCAGATGAGCCGTTGGTCATCCAACGGCTGAGATTATTAAAAAAAAAAAAAAATTAAATTTTTTCGAGTTCCCGCCCAAACAAAACAACAACACAGCTCAGAGACATTCACTCTCACTCTCTCACTCTCTCATTTTCACTCAGCCTTACAGTCGATCGTGGTCGTCCACCGAACCTACCCTCACCGGCGAACCGGCGACCAGTCCCAACGGCGACCCCATGACGACCACAGCTCCACCGCTTTAGCCTCTACGCTTCGTGAACTCCACCGCGACGACCACCATCAGTTGAGCATAGATCACGAACCAGGTTGGTCTTCAAACGTCTGAAATTAAGAAGTTAGGAGTCTGAAAAAATGTAGGGCTTTTAAAGTTGGAATTTCTGAAAAAATTTAGGGCTTTTGAGATTTGGAATTTCAAAATTAGGGCTTTGATTTGGGATTTTGAAACGTCTGAAAAAATTTAGGGCTTTTAGATTTGGAATTTCAAAATTAGGGCTTTCATTTGGGATTCCAACGGCTACAAATTTAGGGCTTTGATTTGGGTTTCCTCTTCTTCTTCTTCTTTTTTCCATCTCTGTCCATATGTTAGTACTTCTGTAATTTACTGCCTTAAATTGCCTAAATACAAGCCATTAAGAAGGCATTAACATTAATATCAGTACCTGTAGCTGTAGGATAAATAAATTTTAATGGCTTCTGTTAATAAATCAATTTTAACAGGTGTGTGTGCCCCATAAAAAACATTTTAATGGCTTGAATTCAACTGCAATAAAACATAATCAATGTCAGTAAGTGTAGTTATACAGAAACCAAATGTTGGCTAACACTTCTTAAAGGTAGGAATCATGGATAACATGGATAAGTTAATCCGGAAGGACCGCGAACCCCCTGTGAAGTAAGTTTCTTGCTATTGTTTTGCAATTGGGATTTGATTTTTCTTGACATAAGATGGACAGTTCTCATTTTGTATGTGGTTTTTTTTTTTCCGCCTTTTATTGTATTTGAACCAATCACTTGAGAATATTGATAGCTAGTTGTAATACTCTTATATAGAGCATGAATTGAGTGTATATTTCTGGAAATATACTCGAGGGGAATTTACTTATCAATATGTATGCATGTACTCAAGGGAAATTTCTAGCAAAAGCTTTATGATGTATGATTGGAACTTCTTAGATGGTGTATTGTATGCATATATGATAGTTGTGAACCTTAATATTTTATTTTTGTATTCTTGCCAATAAAAAAGAGGCTTAAACTTCATAACTTTGAAACATGCATAGCATTTGGAGGTTCCAATGCTTAGTCCATATTCCACGTGCTTCCTTTTTTTTGTAAAATGTCTAATTGGGTTGTAACATATGGTTGTTGAGATAGTAATTAGATGGGGAGTTGTGTTAGTAAGATAATTGTAAGGGAGGATTCAATTAAATATGGATATTGGAGGGTTCAAGAAAAAGAAGAACAACAATAAATAGTAATCACAATCACTTTGAAGTCATTAGGCATCAGACATACGATTATGATTGCATATCTTCCGACTGTTAACCATGAGTACTCATTAGGAGTCTACCCTTGTAGAAAATATTCTCTACCTTCTTCTTAACTCTGAACACCTTAGGATAGGTTACTGCCCAGAATTGTAGCATTGTTTTCCTGAATTCAGTGCAACTAAACACTTTGAGACCTAATCAATTTGTATGTAGAACTACAATGCTGAATAACAGATATAATAGGTTTTTATGAGCCCACTACAATGTTGGTTTCAAAACTAAATTGGTTTCTCGAGGGCTGACTGTTTGTGTTGTATTGTCTATGTAGATTTAGAAATGGCTTCTTCTTCTAATGACAACAGCAACATAAGATTAAAACCGAGAATGTGCAATTGTGGAAGAACAGCTGCCATACATATCGTAAAAACTAATGAGAATGGAAATAAAGGGCGTTTGTTCTTTGTTTGCCCATCAAAATATGTAAGTATTGTATTGGAAATATTAAATATGTAAGTAGTCACAATTTAATTTGTTTTAATAGACTAACTAATTGTTGGTTGCATTGTAGACTGAAAATCCCAATTGCAATTACTTCAAGTTCGTGGCTGAAGATGACGAAGATGTGACTTCCACAATCCGTTCCAACACTAGAGCTTCTGATGGTGTTACAGTAGAAGACTTTAACGAGCTGAGGAGGAGGCTGTATGACGTGGAAAATGAACATGGCGACTATGGTCGAAGGCTTCGAAGGGTGGAAAATATTTTGAAGGCGATGGTGTATTTGATTGTATTTGCTTTACTTTTGTACTTTATGATGTAATGTTATTATGGATTTATGGATTTAATGTTATTATGGATTTATGGATGTAATGTACTTTATGATGTAATGTTAGTATCCGAAAAATTTGACTAATGTTATTACGGATTTATGATGTTTGTACTTTATGATGTTTTTATGAATGGAATTTGGGAAGTTGGGAATGATTTGAGATGGTTTTTAGATGGTTTATTGTCCTTTACTTTATGAATTCCAAATTTTTTATACTTACATTTATGAACTTGGGAATGATTCCCAATATTGTCCTCTAGTTTATGAATTCCAAATGTTTATTAATTAAAACATTATGCTAGTTTTTAGATGGTTCATTGTCCTCTACTTTGTACCAGATGAACCAGCATATGAACCAGCAGAGCATACCAGCAGAATGAATTTAGAAAAACCATATCAAATGTACAAAAACCAGCATACCTGGTGAATTCTGCTACTGTTTATTTTGCATAGGCACATTTACTACTGTGGTGTGGTGTGGTCCATCTACTACTGTTTATTTTGCATAGGCACATTTATTTTGCATAGGCACATTTGCATAGTCCATCTACTACTGTTTATTTTGCATAGGCACATTTCACGTCAGATAGCCTTGGCTGTGGTGTGGTGCATATTCTTGTCTTTTGTATTTTGATTTATCTCAAGATTAGGAAGTCTAATGTGGCTAGCCAAAGAGTGGCCATATATCATTTTGACAGTAGTTAAATGATATCAGATTCTTGCTTTTGATAGAGAGGTTGCTTTATGACAGTTCTTTTGACAATATCATCATCCCTTCTTCTTCTTTTTTAAATTGCTAATAATGTTTTGTTTTAAGAAGGCCATGTTGTGAGCTTGAGTATAACTTTTCAGTTTCAGATGGGTAGTTGCTTTATAACTTTTCAGTGTTCAAACCAGCATACCAGAACCAGCATACAGTGTTCAAAACAGAATCTGCATAACAGTGTTAAAAAAAAAAACCAGAATCTACAGTGTTCAAAACAGAATCTGCATTTCAAAATAGAATCTGCATAACAGTGTTCAAGGGTCCTGAAACTGCAATTCAAAACTGTTAACCATTTGTTAATAACCATTTCAGAATCTGCATAACAGTGTTCAAGGGTCCTAAATGAACATCAACCAACATCAATCAAGTTAAATTAACATGTTCAATACAGCATGTTCAATACCAGTTTCCTGAATTTGAACATGAACATCAAGCAACCAACATGGACACCAATTTAAATGAACATGAACATCAACCAACCAACACATAAATTAAAAAAAAACATTAACAATAAAATAGAATCAGTACAACTTTAACAATAACCAACATCAACCAACATCAACCAAGCTAAATGAACATTAACAATAACCAGTTCACTTGGGTTTAACATATAAATTAAAATCAACTGTAAATGAACATCAACCAGTACAACTTAACATCTAAATTAATTCATTGGTCCTTAAAAATTGACACATTAGTACTTTAACATCACTTTCCAGCAGCAGTTTGCTTCACAATTTCAGAGGCCATGACTTCACGTTGCAGCCCAATTTCAGCATCAGTTTGGTTCTGTTCATGGTTGTCCATAGCCTACAAAAAAAAAGACAGAATTTTTAAGCAACTATAAATACATGATATCACAGAATTTTCAGCAACTATAAACTAAAAATACATCAAGGACGAACCTGACTACACATTGGAGTAGTTGATTCTTGAGAATATCAAAACCCAATGTCATATCCATATGAACCTTGTAGTAGTGACTGGAATGTTGGTTGAGCAGAATGTCGTTGAGCCATTGAAGTTGGCAAATAATTTGGCACCACATACATCTCCCGCAAATTGTTCGCCTACAAGAATGTCATATATGCTTTCAGTTATGGTTTTAGTCACATATTATATCCACACAAAAAATACAATGTTAAAGTAAGACTTACATGATATGTGGGATACATCAATGGCGGAAGAATGTATTACACCATGGCAAAGATCGAGGAAGAGGATGAAGGGAGGAAGAGGTTGAAACGGAGGAACATGTTCACGAACATATAATCTCCCCAACAGATAATGGAGAAGGTGCAACCGTTTGAACTTGCAATAGATTGTGACGAAGCCAAGCTGTTAGCACGGGATTTTTTTTTGGAGTCGCTACCAACGCCGCTTCGAATCCACCTTTGACCCTCCTTTTGCCCTTACATAGTTGGCCACTTTTTCTTCAATCCTTTGGTGCCACAACATGATTCACATCTTCACATTCACTTCAAGCTTTGGGTGCATCATCATTATACTTCATTTCCAACACCAAAATGAGCACTTAACTTGCCTTCAACATCTGCACTAATGTAGCCAAGGTGTGCAATACAAAAATCATAAGTTTCTTCAGTTTCAGCGCTCTACTTGCTACTGCTCTAAACGCGGTCATCAATGTCTTATACCGCGAGGCTTGTTTGGAATTTCACATCTATTCAATGTCATTTTCCTTAATGTGCTGCACAGTTTTCGGCTCTTGCTTGTTGGTTCCACCTCGTTAGATGTATTGTGGAGGAACCTCTAATTGTGTTTTGCCAATAATGTCTCGTGAATGCCATTGCATGGATGGGGAATCACAGAGCCCTTCCCTTTCAAACTTTGTACAATTACAACCCAAAGAGCCATCCCTCTCCATTTTCACTTTCCTTGCATGTTTGTTACCAACATCAACAACTGTGTAAATGGTACTAGCTTCGCCATATTCAATTGCTTCTATGTCTGATTCAATGGATTGAAAGTACTCATTTTGAAATTCCTCAAAGATCTTTTTTGTGTAGACGTTACCCATTTGAATTAACATTCTTATTGTTGCTTTCACCTTTGGTAACCTTTGGCACAAAGCATAGCCTGCTTCTAACTCCTTGTATCGCTTCTCGTAAAGTACCCTTTCGAAATGCATGAAGAATTCATTTAAGTTGAAATCAGAACGAATGTAATCCTTCAAAAAAGCATTAAAAGATTCACTAAGTTGTGTGGTACTCATTCCCGCAGCCCATGTTGATCTAGCATAAGGCCATTCCCATTTTTCTTTCACCGCAAAAGTCAATTTCAACCAATGGTTTTCATGCGCATCATATTTATCAAGCATTTCCGCCCACTCTAATTTCCATTGATTTGTATCTTCAATGTGAAAGAAGAATTTATTTAGTACACCCTTGACCCCCTTATCTTGGAACAAACAGTTAACATGTTTTAATGCATTTTGCATCAAATGCCAAGTACACAATCGGTGACTTGTGTCAGGCATAACGATGGGTATGGCTTTAGCCATTGCAGCATCTTGATCGGTGAACAAAGTTTTTGGTGCCTTCCTTGACATAGCCTCTAGAAAGTTTTCAAACAACCATACAAACGATTCGGCGGTCTCATCATACAACAATGCTGCACCAAATATAACTGTTTCCCTGTGATGGTTGAATCCCACAAAAGATGCGAAGGGTCTATGTTCTTTGTTTAACTTGTAAGTCGTATCAAATGTGACAACATCACCAAATTGGGCATAATCCATGATCATTTGTGCATCGGCCCAAAACATATTGGTTATTTGTTCCTCATTATCTAATTGAACAGCATAGAAGAATGAAGGATTCTGCAAAGATTTTTCTTTAAAGTATTGCAACACATTGCCTACTTCTCCATATGCTAAACTTTGTTGTCTTTTGGTTCTCAAATAATTTTTAGAATCTAACTTCGTAAAACCAAGACATTGCCTTCCACCAGCTTCCCTACCCATGAGTTCAAAAGACTGGCCTAAACGAAGACCAGATTGTGCCGCTAAATCTAATTGAATTGCTTGGGTAGTGGAGATCTTTCTTTGTGACGGCAACATGTGGGCACACTCAGGTGATACAAGATCGTGGTTGTGTTTTTCTTTGAAATCAGTCACAACATATTTTCCAATACCCTCATGTAATTTAATATAAAGTCGAGCCTCACACCCAGTCCTAGTTTCAGCTCTGGAGTTTTTTGACAATGGGTCTCGCTTGTCAACCTTTCGAAATCCCTCCTTGTTGTAAACCAAAAGTCTATGAATAAGTTGATTAGTGAACTTGTCCTTCCTACAATAATCTCTTCTTATGCTAAACCCCATTCTTCCTCCATATGTATTATAAAAATCATACGCACATTGTTCAGAATCAAATATCATTCCCTGTTTTGGCTTCCAATCACAGTCATTCTCAGGTTCCATATCGATATCAAAATGCAACTGAAAACCCATATAAATAAAATCTTAAGTTAATGATAGTTGAGCTTCTTAATAAGATTGCAGGGTTGCTTAGGTTGTAGTGCTATGAAAATGAATTGAAATTGGTTTATAGATGAAATTTATCTGGTTTATAGATAGGACCATATGTCATATAAGGAAAATTACTGAAATTAAGGAAATTGAATTATTAAAAACCAGATAAAATTATATAGATACATATTGCCTCATTCAATTATTCATGAGATTCAATATAACACATCTAGAGACCAGTTAATAATTACATAACCCATGGCACTGCCATGTCTACAAAAACCAGGAGACATACTGTGATAAGGCCCATAACATTACCTTGTTATGGCAAAACTGAGATAATTTACGAGCCTTTTAACAAAACATCACAATAACAATCAGATGAGCAACAAACAGGGTGCCAGGTCTGGATGATCATGTCACAATAAATACATAATTTTGATTGACTTGCTATAGTAAGAATAATGCATTTTCCTGTAAATTTTGAGGCCAAAAAAATTTAAGCACGAAATTAAGGTTGCAAAAGCTAAATCAAAATTTAGGTCAACTAACAAAATTGGAAAATACCTATCTCCCAAAACTCATATCCAAACATAAAGATATCAGATTCATATAAATTGTCTATCAGAGGTTCACAAAGAACAAATTTTTTTATTTATTTTTTAAATGCATACATCAACATAGAATTAATCGAAATTGAATGCTCACACAATGGTGATTTCTACATCAAAATCCAACCCAATATTTGCATAATTTGAAGACGATCAATCAAAAACAAACAAACAAAAGTGAAATTAAAGGATGATAATGACAGATCTTCAATTAAAATCCCACAAAACAAGCTCAATAAAATTCGAAAACAAAAAAATTGAACCTCGAGAGGGAGGCTCATGAAATCATCGGAAGGGTTGGATTGCATCTCCTTGACCTCCTGGAGAATCCTCTTCACCGCAGGGTTCTTAAGATGGAAAGAGGGCAAACCGATGGGTTCGATTTGAGGAGTGCTGTAGAGAGGGTCTGCCGCTACTGAACGGTTCGGTGAGGTTGTATCGACAGTAGGTCGCCGTCGGTGAGGATGGAGTTCGCCGTCGGTGAGGATGGGTTCACCGGTGAGGATGGGTTCGACGGAGGAGAGTGCTGTGTGAGAAAATAGAGTGAATGTCTCTGAGCTGTGTTGTTGTTTTGTTTGGGCGGGAACTCGAAAAAATTTAATTTAATTTTTTTAATAATCTCAGCCGTTGGATGACCAACGGCTCATCTGAGCCGTTGCACGCAGGAAATGAAGGACCCTCCTCAAGGAGAGGATCCGGACTCCAGTCGCCTCACCCAGGGCCGGCCCTGAATGGAAGGATCTAATGAATGGGTGTGGGGGCTCATCCAAGGGAAGGAAAAATTATTCCATGTGCCATGGACATTGATTTGGTATGTGAATTAGAAGAATTTATTTTTTTTTCAAATTTTTATTTTTTTAATTTGTCTAGTCTTATAGAATCTAAATATATATATATATATATTTAAAAATCATAAAAATAAAAAAAATAATTAAAACATCACCTAAAAAGAGGGAAAAGTTGACCGTTGAGCACAAGTTCAGAAGTCGATGAACAGGATGGACCACCATAAAAAACAAAAAAAAAACAAAAAATGCACCGTCACTCTAAAATTTTGAAAAAAATTCTTTAATAGGATAGAGTATTAGTTAAGAAAATATATAAATTATATAGATTCGGCACTCCAAAATATATTTAAAAAGTTTACTACTCGCCCCTAAAGATGAAATGACTCTCTCTACCTCTCCCTTATTCTTTTTATTTGTTTTAGTTTTCTTATGTCTTTTCTTATTTTTCTTTTGCTTCAAATTTTTATTTTGTTGTTGTTGTTTGGATACTCTATTTTATTCTTCTTCTTTAGTATTTTAAGAATTGAAATTATTTGTAAAAATTGAATTAAGGAGAATTTGATTGAGTTACTTTTTTTTAAAGCTTTGTTTCAGATCCCAATAATAATTATTTATGTCTTTCAAAATTAACAATATTAGAGAACTTACAAATAATGACTCCAAAAAGCAAGAAAGCTGTAATTAAAATTTCAATTGCAAAATTATGAAATTCATATCCTTAAACATCTTCATTTAAAAGTTGTTAACAATTTTTAAGTGGTGTCAAGTATTGGTGAAAATATGATATAGGATAATTTTATAACATGTTATCTGATCGTATATCATATTGATTATATATTTTTGAATAAATATATGTGATAATATAGTTTTGTGATATTTTTTGCATTGTATTGAAAGAAATTGATATTGCATTTCACACATTCACTACCAAAAAAATTTAGGAAAATATCAAATGAGTTTTACTTTTTTAATAAAATTCCCATGAAATCCTATTAAGACATGAATCATGTATAGTGTTAATAGGACCCAATGAAAATTTATAAAAGTAGGACTGATTTGATATCTTCCCAAACATATATACATTCACCCCCTCAAGATTAAGATCCTACATCCGTTCCTATCTATGCCAAATAAGAATTTGAAAGGAACTTATTTTATCTAATGTGTTTGCAAGTTTTGGGTTTGGGTTTTTTTTTTTTTTTTTTTTGTAGCCATTTTTTTTTTTTTTTCACTAAAAGACAAAATTTTTACAAAACTGAAAAAAAATACATTCAAACAAAATATCACTTCCAACCTCATAATCATTTTATTTTTTCTTTCACAAACATCATATCTAACCACAAAAAAACTCAACTATCTTTCCAAACACCAAAATTTTTTTTTCCAATAATATCCTACAACTAAAAAAACTTACATAAAAACTCACTTCCCAAAACCCACACATGTTTTATTAATAATTCATGTAAGACCCATTAGTCTATAACAATTGGTGATGTGCAAGTTAAGTGGCAAGTAAAAATGATTAAGGTTAAATTAGACTGATCTCCTTTGATAGTCTCACTAATGTAGCATTTTCCTAAAGACAAACAAACTAAAAAAAGTACAGCATTTTACTTTAGGGCACAAATTACATACCGTAATATTGCATCTCATAAATCATTATTAAAGACGAACCAAGAAAAAAAAAAATGAAGGCATTTATTTTCTGTAGGGTACAAATTTCAAAGGTTTCTCATTCTTTAGTAGCTTGAACTGGCCATTTGTATCTTAGAATTAGCCATGATGGAAGTGGTGTCCTTGTACCAATATGTAGTACTTTCTTCATTGCTTGTATGGTCTGAGCGGCTTGTATGGTCTGGATACAAATAATGGAATCACTACTATGAAAACAGTTAAAGATCACACTTTGATAAAAAAAAATATTTCACTTTTATTAAAAATGTGATAAAAAAATTAGATTGATATTTTAATCACACTTAATTTGATTGAGTGTGATCATATTTATTTTTTATGTCACTTTTTAATTAAGTGTGATTATATATACATTTTTTTAATCACACATTTTAATTAAAGTGTGATTACATATATACTATTACTTTTTAATCACACTTTTTAAATAAGTGTGATTATTTATATATATTTTAATCACACATTCTAATTAAAGTGTGATTATTTATATATTTTTTAATCAAACCTTCTAATTAAAGTGTGATTATATATATACTACTACTTTTTAATCACACTTTTTAAATGAGTGTGATTAGATCACACTTTAACAAATGAAAATATCTCACTTTTATTAGAAGTGTGATAAAAAAAATTAGATTGATATTTTAATCACACTTGATTTGATTAAGTGTGATAGTATTTATTTTTTGTATCACTTTTCAATTAAGTGCGATTGTATTTATATTTTTTAATCACATCTTCTAATTAACATGTGATTAAAGATCACATACGAAGAATTAAAAATATCTCACTTTTATTAGAAATGTGATTAAAAAAATTAAAATAATTTTTTAATCACACTTAATTTAATGAGTGAGATAATATTTTTTTTCAATCACACATTTTAAATAAGTGTGATTATATATATATTTATTTTCATCACAGTTTGGTGTGATTATATATAATTTTTCAATTTATTTTTTATATTAAACAATTATTCCCATATTGTATATAAGCTCATGAAATTGCTTTGGTAGAGAGAGAAAGAGCTGGGCAATTTCTTTCTAGGGTTTCTTGTGGCTCTCCATCTCGCCTCTGTTGTTGATGGCCACTGATCAACGCGCCTCTCCATCTCCCCTCTTGCTCCTCTTCCTCCTCCTTTCCTTGCTAATCGATGCCGCCGCTGCTCTTGCTAGTCGCCGTCGTTGGCCTTTCCAGCGTTACTTCTCCTCTCACCGTTGCTGCTTCTCTCTCTTTAGTTTATGTTTTCTCATTCACTGTAAGTTCTTCAATTCCTTCCCCAACCCCATGAACTTTTGATATGCTAGTTGACCTTAATCACGTGCACTGCACTCTTTGTAACCAATGAACCATTCATTTTTTATGGAATTTTTTTGTTGTTGGAATAGCTTGTTGATATTGTGATTCTTATCGTACCATTTTCCGTGTATGTCAAATGTTTGATAAAATGTGTCAATGGAAAAATTTTGTTATTTTTATTTTATCTTTTAATTTTTAGCCAAACACCGAAAAATAAGAATGATGATGAAACTTTTACAGTAAAATGCTCTCTTTGTAAACCCCCTTTTTTTTTTTGCCCTAGTTTTTGTGTATATTATATGCATCATTACACTTTCTGATTATCTATGCGTTGTTTCCCTTAGATTCATGATAATCTATATGGCAAATTACGGAGCCTATATTTCATCTACTAGGCAGATTTTAATTTTTATATGTTATGCTTAGTGTTTGAAATCATTCAATCCAAACTAGGTGTTAATGATTTGGGGAGGATGAGGCTCAAAATTCTATTCCAGAGTTTGTGGGTCATCCACGGTAGGGGGATTATTTATGTGGGTATGGATTATACATTTTTAGGTTTTTTTTTTTTCTGGTCAGGCTTGATGGTAAGGTAATGCTAATGTTAATTCATGTTGGTATGGATTATAGATTGCATGTTGACAACATATTTATGTTAGTTAGTTATCTCAAAATGAGATTTCTTTATCAGTTGTTATTGGTGGCTTGTATATGCGCATTTTGTGCATGAATTACATAGCAGATGTAAACAGGCCATGATTACCACGTGCATGCTTCTCTAGTAGTATAACTATATACGTTGTGCTTTGATTTATAGAGCTTGAGACAAAGAGAATATTGCTTAATATTTTCAAAGAGAAGTAGCAAAAGAGTGCTGAAGCTGGCACAATTCCAAGCTTCTAAAAGAAGGTAAGCATTGTTATTGGTGCTTAGGTATTTGAATTAATATAGGCCAGATGATTTTGTCACTTTCTTTCTTTGGTATCTACTTGGATAGAACTTGAGTATAAAATTTGTCCATTTATTTTGGTATCTACTTGGATAGAACTTGAGTGCAAATGCTAAAGGGAGAATGTCCCTTATTTTCATATAGTTTTGTTGGTTTCGTTAATGTGATATTGTTTTTTTCGATATTAATTTTTTTCCGTATTCTGTACTTGCTTTAGCTCCCCTTTATTTTGTTTTCTGTTTCCCCTTTGTTCAGAAACCAGAAGAAGGGTCCATCAGTCACAGGGTCTAGAGGGTGGCTAAATATCATTTTCTATAGGTATCATTTACACTTTTCCTCATTTGTTGACTGTTGATAGTCATCATCACTTAATCAATTCATCTTTGGCAGATCGAAACAAGCGTATATCTCTTTGTCTCTTGGTGTGATATTGGGACTCCATATTGCCATTTTTTTTCTTTCTAGATTGAATCTTAAAAATTTTATTGAGTTGTGCAAGATTTCAATATGATTTCATTTGTAGTAACTAATTATTTGGTTTAGTATTAGGATGTGGATTGGCAATAATTCATCATTCCGCACATGCAGAAACAATCTAATCTTTTACTAAATGCTGATGATCTGGATGTTCAAAATAAAAAAACACCACACTAATTATATGGCACTTGTACATAATTAATTCTAGATATTCAAAATATGGAGTATGAAAATTTCAAGTTATTTTTCCTCAATGAAAAACAATTAATAGTTGTTTGAGATTAATCAAGCATTCTCCAATAGAAGTTTTCATCTCTTTTTTTGTTGCATACATGACTACTAGTAAATATATCACAAAGTTTAGAAACATAGAAATCAAAAATACATATATGATTCTTTTGAAAAATAGATTTCACCAATCAATCTTGTAATATCTTGCTCGTCCATATATTTTCTATGCCTGATTCTATATTTGATTTCTATGCTACTACACTCATTGGCCTACATATGTCCTTGACAATAGGCCTAATAATCTTTAAATGGTTTGTTTTACTTCACCCATATTTGCTACAGAACATTGTTTTGTTTTTGTTTTTGCTAATAATTTTTGGATATATATCAGGTGGGACTGCAAGTTATCTACTAGGAATGAGTGGATGTATTGCAGCTCAAGCAGATGAAGCAAGCAACCCAATCAATGTGAAGAATCTATCTTTGGGTTGGATGATTGGTTTTCTCTTTCTTGTCAGCTTTGTTGGTCTCTTTTCAATTGTCCCCTTTAGAAAGGTATAATAACAATAGATTATTACAACAAACCAATTTTAATTTTAATAATATATTTTATTGATAAGCTTTTTAATTTGTAATTTTTTTGAATTGTTTTTCCTCTCCTCCTCAGATGATGATACTCAAGTACAAGTTAACATACCCTAGTGGAACTGCAACTGCTTACCTCATCAACAGCTTTCACACTCCTAAAGGAGCCAAACTAGCCAAGTAATTAATACTATCTCTTACCCTAACCTTATTTAATGTATCTATTTAAAACTAAAATTGATATTATTTACCACACAATGTAACTATTTAGAACTAAAACTGATATTACTTACCACTTGGCCCTTAGTGCCTCATGAAGCATTAAGTTTGAGATTCAACTCCCATTGAAAAAAATTATTAGATAGTCTTGGAGCATCACATGGTAATACCCCTACCAATTATCAAATGTCATATCCCTCGTTGTTCTCCTATTACCAAACACCAAATTATAGGCTCCACTCATTCTGCCAATCACAATATTCTTGGACACTACCTAGCCATGCCCCAAGACCACCACATAACTTCTCCTCCCATTGAGTGCTATCAATTGCTCAGGGACTATGCCTGTGAGCATAGTCGAAGATTTGCCTGACTCACATGGAAGGAAATGCTTTGTGTGAGTCTTGAGATTAGTCGAGTACACCCAATGAATACTTTGACCCTTCTATGGATAATGTAGGAAAAAAGAGAAGAAATATTTATACCACACTTTTTCTAACAAAAAAAATTGACTTCTAACATTTAGGTCTATTCATATTCTTGATCTACAATTTTTCCTTTTACTCTTATCTTTTTTTAAAATTTTAAGTTGTGAGGGCTGGTGGGGGAAAATTATTAGAATTAGCGTCTTTGTTTATTTATTTTTTTATATTTTTTTGGGAGCTAATGAGTTAATTAATTTGGATGCAGGAAACAAGTAATGATGCTATTCTATTCCTTCTGTGGTAGCTTTACTAATGCACTTTTTCAATGGTTCTTTGCTGCTTCTGATGGCTGTGGATTTAGTAACTTTCCCATCTTTGGTCTCAAAGCCTTTAGCCAAAGGTTAGCTCTTTCTCAACTTTTCATAATAATCATTTTATTATTTTATTACTTACTGCTTGTTTAAGTACTATTAGTGAAAGGAAAATGATTTGAAAATGAATGATATTTTTGAATTTATGAGGATCATATATAAAAACTATGTTTATGTATCATTATTCTTATTGAAATTAGTGATAGGAGGATGGAATGTCCTTTGGGATGGAAGGCTTTATACCTTTTTGATATTGGCACACCATAACCTAATGTCTTCAAACTTAACCATGCCCAATTTAATGTTATTAAGTTGTTTTATGAATACTGAAAATTTTCATAAAAATGTATTTATGACTCATCATTTGTCTCAAATCTGTATTTGTCTAACATCTGTAATTAGATATTTACCCATAAAGTGTATTAAGTAGTTTGAGTTAATAAGGCCTGTTAATACCAAGGTGCCTAATTATTGCAAAAAATTATTATAGTAATTTTTTCTTTGATAAGTAACAACAGTAAAATGAGTAACACAAGTATATAGGAAAATAGAAACTTAACCACCACTACCACCACCACTAATAGCATAAACTTCATATGCAAAAGAAAGGATTAAGAACAATAGATAAACAAACAGTGATTGGTGTGAACTTTAACATAAAGACAACAGGCAACATAGCATACAAATTTTATCATTTTACATGTAGTTGGTGACATTAACAGCTGTCATTAAGCCACTTCGTTCTGAATTGATTCCCAAGGGTGTGTGCTTTGCTCTGAAACTTGATTGATTTTAGGATTTGATTGTGTGTTGTTTATTCGAGGAAGAAAAATAGAAAATGAATAAGAGAGCATGATCCTTCATGTAACAAAATATCTCTGATAAATTACAAAATTAATAAGTTGCCCATCAGTTCCAAATATTTTTTATATTATTGGTTTTACTTATGTCAAATAGAATATTGAAATATAGAAGTTGGAGAAAAGATGAGAGCATCTGCAATGGAGTGGCTAAAAATGTGTTTTATTGAGAATCTGTTTGACGTGGTTATGATTCATGTGATGATTGTCAACACTTATACTATGCTCCTTGTGGCAGGTTCTGATGAACTTAACAAATGACAACCCTGTGTGCTGTCAGCAAATTGCTACCTGTGGAGGACTGGGGAAACCTTGTCTTTATTGATTGCTGGCCACTTTCCATCATTCAGTTCATCTTTGCCTCCCTTCAGCGATATAAGAAATGATACTTGTTGTCCAAGTCTTAAGACATTTTAAAGGGTGTGATCGGTAGGACTTTATCTTTTGTAAGACTAGAACAAACTTTACAAATAGTTAATTTATTCATATGCTTCTAGCGGTTTCTGAATTAATTTTTGTTTTCATTTTTCAGGTTAGAAATTCTTGGAGAGATGCAAAATATGGTCAAAGAATTCAAGAACTTAGTTTTTAAAGTTTTTTCATTTTTTAATATATGTAAGCATGGTTTAAAACTTTTTATTTAATTCTTTTGTATATACTTTTGAACATATTTAATTTTCATTTATGAAATATATGACATTATTCTATTCAATATGTGATTGTGATTCAAAGTATAGTATATAATGTGTATTACATTCTTGAAATGCGCGTATAAAAATAATATTGATTATTCTTCAAATATGTCGAATTTTTTTTTATTACAGGTTTTATTAGTTATTAATCACACTTAAAAGATGTGATCTAAATGTTATTAATCACATTTAAAAGGTGTGATCTAAATGTTTTTAATCACACTTAAAAACTGTGATCTAAATATTTTCAATCACACTTAAAAGGTGTGATCTAAATATTTTTAATTACACTTAAAAGATGTGATCTAAATATTTTTAATCACACTTTAAAGATGTGATGAAAGCATTTTTTAATGATACTTAAAAAGTGTGATTAAAAATGACCCATTTTAATCACACTCCCAAAGACCACACTTTAATAAAACTTAGAAGATGTGATTAAAAAACATACATTACACAATAAAAGTATGATCTTTATCTGTATTTGTAGCAATGAATGGTTTAGGAGGTGGCTTCACCTCCACTTCTCCCTCCAACATTTTCACTACAACACTCATCAGCGGCATAGCGTGGGGCGAGTCCTGAACACACCACAAAGCTACCATTGCCATTCTCTCTGTTATTCTCTTCGATTCCACATGACAACAATGTCATCTCTCCCAACTTGCCTTTCTCAAACTCATTCCATACATGTTTTGGGAACCAATCCAAGCTCTCATCACCTCCAACTCTGGTATTCCTCCTCCTCCCTACTATCTCAAACAAAAGCATGCCAAAACTATAAACATCACATTTATCTGTAATGGGATAGTTCTTGAGAAGAAACTCTGGGGCTGAGTAACCAGGAGTCCCTCTATATCCTTCGGCATACATGTTTTGGGAACCAATCCAAGTCTCATCACCTCCAACTCTGGTATTCCTCCTCCTCCCTACTATCTCAAACAAAAGCATGCCAAAACTATAAACATCACATTTATCTGTAATGGGATAGTTCTTGAGAAGAAACTCTGGGGCTGAGTAACCAGGAGTCCCTCTATATCCTTCGGGAGAGTCATGTGTGTCGTCTCTGTTGCAAAGCTTTGCCAGCCCGAAATCAGCAACTTTGGGAGAAAAATTGGCATCTAACAAAACATTACCGGGCTTTATGTCATAGTGAATGATCCTCGGTTGACACTCTTCTTGTAGGTAAGCGATACCTTATGCTGTCCCAATCGCTATCTCATACAGCTTCTCTCGCTCAATTGCTCGTGTATCACTGAAAAGGTGTTTATCTAGTGATCGATTTTCCATGTACTCGTACACCAATGCGCTCATAAAGTTGTCGTGGCAAAAACCATATAGCCTGACTAGATTTGTTTGGTATGTTCTTCCAATCGTGCTCACCTCTGCCATGAATTGTTCCTCTGCTCCTCCATTATTCGATTTCCTATTGAGGACCTTAACCGCGATCTTAACTCCATTTGGAAATTGGCCCTTGTAAACAATCCCAAAACCTCCAGAACCCAACCTTGTAGAATAATTAGTTGTGAAATAACATAGTTGTTGGGCTGTGAATCTAATCGGTTTCTTCTTTTCCAAGTCTTGGACGAAACTCCATTGTTGGCGCTTTGGTTTCCCAAACTGGAACCACATTCAAGGTCAGTGGTGAAGCCACAGTTGTTGGCAATTCTGGACCAATTGATCTTCTTCTCATTCTCCTAGCCCAAGCCAATGAGATAATGACGATGACTACAAGTACTACTACAGACACTATTACAAATGTAAATTGAAAAAAAAAAAAAAAAAAACCAAAATAAACAAACAATCGTCGAAATGGTGACATTTTGGGCTTACAATTAAGTCAAATCTTAGTGTTTGTATAGAGTAAATTACAGGTTCTGTAAGCAAAGCGTCACTTCAGTTTTCATGGTTTCAATTTAAACATTTGAACCTCAAATTTTCAATTTTGTTGGTTATCCCTATATCATTAGCCCCTAAATATTTTGAACGAAACAAACCACATGGAAAATTAAAAGGACCAAATTGTAAATTACATCAATAATCCCTATAGTTCCTTGTGAATTTCACATTAGTCTCTTTAATTTTACTCCTAATATTTTTCTTTTCAAAATTCTTATGATAAGTGACAGATGGTTCGCATTACAACAAAACTTAAATTATATGATTTAAATTGAAACTGTGAGGACTAAAATTAGAGGGACCAACAATATAATTAATCCGTTGATATATTGTTATTGTATTAATTTGAGAAATTACAAAAAAAAAAAAAAAATCTCAAAAAAAAAAAAAAAAAATCTCAAATTTTGACACTTATAACAAGTTAAATTCTAAATTTTTAATTTTTTCTAGTGACCCCCAAGCTTCTAAATTGATATCAATTTCAACATTCCATCAGTCTGTAAAGTTTTTTTTTTGGGTGAATAATCAGTCTGTAAAGTTGGGTGTACTAAAAGGCAATATATATATATATATATATGCCTTATACAACTGAGATCAATTTAAAAGGCTGGAATTCAAAATGAATTTTTTTTTAAAAAATAAAAAAATTTAAGATTTAATTTGTTACATGAGTTTTTTTTGTTTGGAAATTAAACTGCTAGTCCCTGTAATTTAATCTTCGTATCATTTTGATCCTTATAATTTCAATTGAATCGATTTTGATCTTGAATTTTATAATTTGTTTCAAATTGGTCAAATTGTTAGCATTTATTTATGGCAAATGAACATATGAACAACATATGTCATGTTTTTAAGAGCAAAATCGTAAACTTATCAATTCAGTGACTTAATCTTAACTAATTCAGTGAAATTTTTTTGTTAAAAAACCTATCAGCATTATCAATTAGACCAATTGATGCAAAATTTAAAATCAATCACAAAAATTCAACCAATTGAAATTATAGAAACTAAAATGACACAAATGATAAACGTAGAAATTACGAGTGTAATTTATCCTTTTTTTGTTGCTGTAGTTTTTTTTTTTTTTTTATTGAGTGTTTTTTTTTTTTTTTTGGGGGTGGTAAATTACACTTAGAACCAGTGCAATTTACATCCAGTCTGACTTTGTTCTCTAATCTTTTAAAGTGGTAGACAGCACCTCACATGGTCTAGTTCCAATTCAACCAAAGTAGTTTGTGAAATTCATATGGCCACTATCAAGACAATACAGTAAAAGAAAAATTATACTTTGTATTCAGTCTCACTTTACCTCATAACCTTTAAAAAATTGACAATAAACATCTCACACTTTTATTCAAGTTCCAATCCAACCCATCCGTTAACCCACGCTAGGCACCTTATTTAATGTAAATTAACAAATGAGTTTGATTGAAACTTAACCGAAAGTAAGAGATGTTGATTGTGATTTTTTAAAGGTCAAAAGACAAAGTGAGATTGAGTATAAAATGTAAAGGTGCTCAATGTAATTTTTCATTTTTTATTTTTATTTTTAAAACAACTTCAACTTGATGAACTAACTTACCAGCAGCAATTGTCCCAGCGTTGCTGAAGATGTCGGGCGGGGAAGGGTTGGGGAAGTCGGCCGAAAAATTGCTGACGGAGACAGGCGTTGACATCTCTGGGGTGGGAATCAAAAGCACTTTGAAAATTCAATTCAAATAAACCAACATTGATTTCTTGGGTACAAAAATTTGACATTTATCATGCATTTATTGACTGTTAATGGAAATTTTATTTGGACAAAGATTACTATATAGAAAAAGGCTAAACACTTGCTATTTAAGTTTCGCAATTCACCCTTAATGATATATGATAACAGAGTTAGGTCTTACATGATATAGTTTGTGACAAATTAAAAATTAGACACATAATTTGTTATATCATTGTGAATAAAATTGTACAGCTTAAATTGTGAGTTTCAATTTTTTTTCCTGTCAAATAAATTTGAAATGGAAAACTAATTATAAATTGGTCCAAAAAAGATATATGTGGGGAATGAAATCCTGCTTACCGTGCCCCTGGTCTCACCTTTCGCAAAAAAGAGGGAGTTCAATATATTAGTGCTTTAAACTAGTATACAAGGACTAGCAGATTGTAATTTGACGTGGAGCCCAGTACATAACCCAGCTGGTAGAGTCCAGAACAGCTGGAATCCAACATGGCACAAAGAGCTAATGACATTCAGACGTATGGCAGGCAAAGGACAAGCCACATCAGCAGACAAAGATCTGCAAAGTTATTGCTACTGCACATCACCATTAATGCAGCCTATCACAGCATTTATTACGACAACACCTCTCCGTCGGAACAACACTACCTTACCCTGAACAAGGTAAGCTACAGCATAGACTTTCGGCGAGGAGGGCAGGTCGGAAGAGACAGCGAAATGATTACCAAAGGATATAAGCAAACGTTGAAGACAAGAAGAAGGTTAAGCTTTTCTATCTCTAATCTCGCCTTCTACACTCTACTTCTCTTCCTAACTTGCTCATCGGAGGGTTCACTGGGGGACTATCCCGTTCCCCGTTGAACTTGTTTGCAGGTTATCCGGTGCGCTTGATCATTTGGACCTGGGCTTGAGGAGCTTGGACCAGTCCGATCCATTCACTGGGACAAACTGTATCATCATAATTGAAGCACTATATAGTATAGACTCCCATTTTTGTCATTAAAACTGTCACATATTTATGGAGAAACCAGATCATCTATTCTTAAAACAGTAATATTAGAGATTAAAAATTCATATATAGAAAAATATCAAGAAAAAATTATGTCTACCCTAAATTCAACTCTTGTGTTGTGGAACTCATGCACTCTTAGAATAGAAAGATTAGAAAAAAATGATTTTTGAATGTCTATTTTCTAGTGAATTAAAAAGTTAGATTTGATGACTATCATGTCATCATGTCATTTTTCCTTTTTCAATCTGATGATTAGATTATCCTTTTATCACACTTCTTAATTCAGTAGAGAAAGTAGATTTGAAAACCATTTTTCTTGTCTTTCGTAAACAATTATATATGATTCTTTATGTTAGTTCCATTAATAATGTTAGGAACGCAATA